CCCTTCTACGTGACTTTACCGAAAGAACCAAGAAGATGAATCCCTACAGTCACGAAAGCTTTAAATCGAAATTCATGAGCTTCCTCAAAGGGGGCGGGGACTGTGAAATCGCTAAATATTCATGAGCTTCCACTAAAACCATCCACCCATCTAATTCATATTCATGTTATTTTACACAAAACCCGCCTTACCCCCCTCCCCCATCGCTAATTAATATTCATGAGTTTCCACTAAAAACATCCACCCATCTAATTAATATTTATGCAAATCTACAGAAAACCCCGCCTTACCACCCCCATCGCTAATTAATATTCATGAGTTTCCACTAAAAACATCCACCCATCTAATTAATGTTCATGAGTTTCCACTAAAAACATCCACCCATCTAATTAATATTCATGAGTTTCCACTAAAAACATCCACCCATCTAATTAATATTTATGCAAATCTACAGAAACCCCGCATTACCCCCCCTCCCCCATCATCTCATGAATATTCATGAGTTTCCACTAAAACCATCCACCCATCTAATTAATATTCATGAGTTTCCACTAAAACCATCCACCCATCTAATTAATATTCATGAGTTTCCACTAAAAACATCCACCCATCTAATTAATTTTCATGCACATCTACAGAAACCCCCGCCTTATCCCCCCTCCCCCATCGCTCATGAATATTCATGAGATGATTCACAGGAAACCAGGGGGCCCACACCCCCACCCCCCATCCTCCCAACTCATTAACTATTCATGACGCACGGCGGCCGGCAACGGAACGATGAATATTCATGAGCGGGTCGTGGTGACGTCACCGCGTCGGAACACTCCGTTGGAGGGGGGAGGGGCTTTCCGGTCGTCGTGCGTCACGACGTTGCGGCTCTCTGATTGGCCGAGCCCCCCGAGATAATAAACACCCCGAGACCCGACACCACGTGGTCCGCCATTGGAGTGGCAACAGATAAGAAGAACGAGGTCCCCAATTCGTGATTTCTCTGAAATGTTTTAAAGTGGCGAGTTTTTTTTTTGGTGTTCAACACCCAAAACCCTCAGTGGTCTTTATTTTATTTTTTTACAGGCAAAGGACGTTGATCTTTTGCATTTATGAGAAATGCCAACACATCAATCTCGTTTCCATTGCTACTGTGAACGTGATTGTTTACAGTTTATAATTTTTTTCCCATTCGCCTAAGCGAACGAGACTTCCCTGAAATTCTCACGTTTCAGATGCACCCCCCCCCCACCCCCTAAATTGCTTTAATGTCGCGTGACCGTGGACACGTGATTAAAAAAAGAGTGTGCCGTTGTGATGTCTGCTTGTATGTCTGTCTATAGTTTTCTAGTTAGATTTTTGTTGCTATTTCTTGTATGCCTGATGATGATTGCTTGTGTTGCAATCGAAACGTCGTAATATGCTATTATTTTAATTTATTATTTTATCTTTAGACGTGACTTAACCGAAATAAACAAAGAATAATTCCTGCAGTCACGAAAGCTCCAAAATTAAGATAAAAAAGAGCTTTATCGCTCATCGGATTCCTCCAACGAGCATTCTGATCCTGCGATGCCCGGGTCTTGGCGCAGAGGTTTTCATCCAGCAGTGGATCGATCACGGTTGGACTACCGCTCACACCACACACTGCTGCTCGTCGCTGTTCTTTGGTGGTGAGCGGGAATCGAACTCGGGACGCGGGGTTCGGAGGCGCAGCGCCTCCCTCACCCGTTACGCACCTGCGCCACTCCCGGTGACACACCTCGAGTCATGAGGAGGTCCCCCGGGTAGCCTTGACAGATTGCTGGGGCAAGTGCCGTTCGCGAGTAAGTGGCACGTCATGAAGGGGACAAAGATAAAGGTCCCCCGGGTAGCCTTCACAGACTGCTGGGGCAAGTGCCGTTCGCGAGTAGCAGCAGCAGCACGGAATGAAGGGGACAAAGACAAAGGTCCCCCGGGTAGCCTTCACAGACTGCTGGGGCAAGTGCCGTTCGCGAGTAGCAGCAGCACGGAATGAAGGAGACAAAGATAAATGTCCCCCGGGTAGCCTTTGACAGACTGCTGGGGCAAGTGTCGTTCGCGAGGAGCAGCAGCAGCACGGAATGAAGGGGACAAAGATAAAGGTCCCCCGGGTAGCCTTTGACAGACTGCTGGGGCAAGTGCCGTTCGCGAGTAAGTGGCACGTCATGAAGGGTACAAAGACAAAGGTCCCCCGGGTAGCCTTTGACAGACTGCTGGGGCAAGTGCCGTTCGCGAGTGCAGCAGCAGCACGGAATGAAGGGGACAAAGATAAAGGTCCCCCGTGTAGTCTTTGACAGACTGCTGGGGCAAGTGCTGTTAGTGAGCGCCTATGAAGGCCGGAACGGTCGACGAGGGGGTGGGTGGCCAGCACCACGCCCGACCGCCTTCGTCTCCCCAGTGGCGATGTTTACTACACACCACACCAGCTACTCATTTGAGGCTGAGCCGACCTAGGGGATGCCCAAGGACCGGCTCAAATAATCGCCACCGGTGTTGTCCGTGAGCGGGAATCGAACTCGGGCCGCAGAGTTCGTAGCGAAGCGCTAACCGCCACACCACCACTCCACACACAGCACGCACACACACACAGACACACGGTGACACAAAAAGGCTTACAGCAAAGAATGTATTTCGTCACGGATTTGTCTGGAAAATGTCTATCGCGCGTGAACTTTTATTTCCAAGGTCGTATCGTAGCTTGCCCTTGCAAGTGCCAGGTGGAATTAAGTTCGAGGTCGACACTAAGCTCGCCCTCGGAGCGAACGCCGTGTGCGTAAAAGAGAGATTTGTCGGGTCACATGGCGGAGATAAAAATGCGTCTGTCAAACCCGCCACCAACGACCGACACAGACAATTTAAGGGAGTTTTGTTTACGTAAACAAAACGTGGCTCAATTCGTGACTAGTTCGGCGCTCATAGGTTGTGTGTTGGAGAGTAAAATGTACTGCAACATCTACAATTCGCGTACCGTGACGTTTCGTCGGTAATTATTTTTGTTTGCATTATGACTGCAGGTATTGTGGTCTATGTAAACATGACTCCTTGTAAAAAAAGGGTGTCAGTTTTGTTGCCAGATAGAAGGGTAAAAAAACCAATTATCAATTGCAACCAGCATCATCAGGCGACAGCCAATGCCAGTAATTACAACCAGCATCATCAGGCGTCTGTCAACGTCGGTAACGACAACCAGCTGTAATTACCGGTGAAACGTCACGCCAACTCAACTTGTAAATGTTGTAGCAGCTTTACTCTCGAACACACAAGCGGTGTTGTGCAGACCTCGTAACGAATTGGGTCACGCTTTGTTTACGCGACAAACTCACTTACTAATTGGCGACGTCTTCTTGGTTCTTTCGGTAAAGTCACGTAGAAAGGAAATAAAAGAATAAAAATAAAACATAATAAAATACAATTAGTTTTATTTTTTATTATTTTATTACTTCCCTTCTACGTGACTTTACCGAAATAGCCAAGAAGATGAATCTCTGCAGTCACGAAAGCTTTAAATCGAAATTTAATTGGCCACGGTCGGGTGGTGCGGGACGTTTGACGACACACTTTTACACAAAACCCAGAAAGCTCTCTTGTGGACAGCGTTGGTCGTGAACGCCTCCTGCGTGTTAAAAATTGAACACGCCGTTCGGGAAGTGGGGGGGGGGAGCACTTTTAATTTGAAGGTTCGGACCGCTGGCTGCAGTATACAACACGCGTGGTTATTCTCGCTCAAAAGTCAAAGGTACATTTTTTTTGCCGAGGGTCGTTAAGATTGCTTTGCCCTTATCCAAAAAACAAAAACAACGACAAGATACTTTTTCTTCTTAAACGGACCCGAAACGGGTCCTTGTTATTAAGACGCTCGCGAATAATTGCACAGATATTGTGGACATTGCGAAGGCTACGTAATCGCACAAATAATAACGACCGAATGATGATGACGACATGGGTATCGTGGTGGTGGTGGTGGTGGTGATAATAACAACTCTATAATAAATGGTACAACTAAATATAACGAAAACTCACACGCACACACTCGCACTTAACACTGGCGCGGTTCGAGTTAATGCAACCGATTTTAAAATAAAATTCTAAAATAAAAGCTCAAATAGATGTCGATGAAGATTAAGTTTTTTTTTTAAACAAAATATAATAACGGAAAATATGTTGTGACAACACGCAGCGATCTTTGCTCCATCTGCTCCCCCCCTCTGCCAAGGAAACGTGTTCAATCACCAAAAATGTTTCGGAAAATCCTTGATAATATTGATAAAGGGGTGCGCGCGCGACTGAAAATGTATGCTTGTTTACACCAACTGCCCGGAAGTGATTGGCGTCTTCTTCATCATCATCCTCCACCAACAAAGAGAGAGAAGAGAGACGGCTACCTGTACCGTAGAGCAGGGGTGGGGAAACTTGTTTCTGCCAAGGGCCATTTGGATATTTACAACAACATCATTCGCGGGCCATACAAAATTATCAACTTAAAAAATTAGCCCGCTATATTTTGTCAAACATTTAATTAACTCGCCCCTAATGCGATGGGGGCTGGAACTGTTTCTCTTTGGCGAGGCGTGTGATGATGTTAACTGGCTATTGATGATGTTGCTGCTACTCGCAACTGCTTTTCCCAGTTTTGCTCCGAGATTTGTTGAATTTCGAGTCCCGCCTGCGGTTGCCTTGGCAGGGCCACACCAAATGATTTCGCGGGCCTCGTACGGCCCGCGGGCCAGACGTTCCCCACCCCTGCCCAAGACGCACCGTTCTTCACTGCCTTGGCCCCCCTCCCCCGGTGCCCCCCCTCACCCTCTCAGACAATACACAAATGTACAAAACCAGCCCCCCATAATCGTCATCGTCGTGCTGATATTACACAACCCCCGACGATGATATCACAAACGCGTTTGGTGGCGCTTCCTCCCACCCTCCATCCTCTCACACACACTCACACCAATGAATGCGTTAACCCCACCCACCCCAAACCCCATCGCTGGTACTCGCATCGCCTTGACTGGCTCACAAGTGACATCGAGTCACACCACCGCCCCACCACCCCCCGTCTATTTAAGAGCGAAACAGGGGAGGAGGAATTCTCCACACCTCTGTGCCGTCCGCCTGACGAGGCTGGTTGCTGTTGTTGATGATGTTGTTAATCACCGGCGAAACGTCACACAGCAACTCCACCGCCACCACGTCTCCTGTGAAGGTTTCTCCAAAATCCGGCGAAATGTTCGGGATTGTGGCCTGGGGTTATGGAGACCGAACAGATTTAGTGATTTATAAAAAAACACACATTTTCTCTGCGATGTGTTTTTTCTCATGTGCATTTTTTCTCTTCTCTCTCTTTAATTATATCTTCATCTTTTTTTAGTTTCTGACTTGCGAACTAGTGGGGAGCCGTTTTGTTTTTTGCATCGTCTGCGGCGTAAGGGGACCGGGCCAATTGATGTCGCAGCGTTGTGGGATGGCAATTGCATTAATGACGCTAAAATGACATTACCATCATCATCATGATGAGTGTGTGTCGTGGGTGCTGCTCTCCAACACACACAAGCAGTGTGTTGCTGAACGAGTAACGAATTGGCCACGTTTCCTTCAGGTGACAAGAACCCGTCACCGATCGGCTGTCGGGTGGTGGCGGGTTTAACGACACATTTACGAGTGTTCCATACTCTTTAGTTCTTTCGGTAAAGTGACGTGGGTAGAAAATAATTGTTTTATTTTTTTTATTAAATTTTTTTTATTGTATTTTATTTTATACCTACGTGACTTTACCGAAAGAACTAAAGGCTATGGAACATTACAGTCACGAACACTTAAGATCTAAACCATTTCGCGTGTTATCGAAAGTGTCACCCTCTGTTAAAATGCGTTAAGAACCACAGCTGTAGATTTCGATTTAAAGCTTTCGTGACTGCATGGATTCATATTCTTGGTTCTTTCGGTAAAGTCACGTAGAAGGGAAATAATAAATTAATATAAATAAAACATAATAAGATAAAATTCTCTCGGCCACAACGCAAGCACTCGTCCTCAGGTGAAGAACAGGGCTGTCGGAAAGACAGCGTCCTAATGAACACTGCTAAGCTTGGCAGCGTATTTTTAAGCTGGCGATTTTGAAGCTTAAAAATACGCTGCCAAGCTTAGCAGTGTTCATTGGAGCGCTGTCTTTCCGACAGCCCTGTTCGTCACCCCAGGACGGCTGCTTGCGTTGTGGCCGCAACGTCGTGAGAATTTTATCTTATAATGTATTATTTTTATTATTTTATTATTTCCCTTCTCGGTGACTTTACCGAAAGAACCAAAACGAGGAACCACTGCTGTGCCATGTACATTGGCCTACGAGTGCCGAAGACTTGAGACCCACCACCGCACGCGACCTGTCATCGCACTGCGGTGAACAACGCACACGTGCGTATGCGGACAGCTATTCATTGGGTGGACGGGTCGGTGCGTGGGTGCCGGGGTGCATTTCAACACTTTCCCCGATCGCACCGAGCCGGCAAGCGGTACCAGTGAAATATACAGGGAATGTAAATCGTTAGACCGGACAGGCATAGGAGGAGGAGGGGGTACGGAACACACATCCACACAACACGTGGACAGTTTTTGGTTGACGGGATAGAGGGGGGCAGTCCGGTGGAATGTTTTGCGACGGAGCGGTGACTCCTTCCGCTGGGGAACACTTTTCGCACAAACGCAGAACGCGCACACGACCGTCGTAACGCGGGAACGCGCACCGTCACGGCGCGGTACATGCAGCGTTATAACGCGAGCGCCACCATTATAACGCGAGCGCTTCCGTTATAACGCTGAGCACGCGAGCACCACCGTTATAACGCGAGCACCACCGTTATAACGCGAGCGCCACCGTTATAACGTGAGCGCTTCCGCTATAACGCTGAGCACGCGAGCACCACCGTTATAACGCGAGTACCACCGTTATAACGCGAGCACCACCGTTATAACGCGAGCGCCACCGTTATAACGCTGAGCACGCGAGCACCACCGTTATAACGCGAGCACCACCGTTATAACGCGAGCACCACCGTTATAACGCGAGCGCCACCGTTATAACGTGAGCGCCGTTATAACGCGGAGCACGCGAGCACCACCGTTATAACGTGGAACGAGCGAGTTTCCGAGCGGTCGACGACCAACTACTTTCTTGACCTTGCGCGGCCCAGCGGTACAGCGATACGGTAACGCGGTGGTGGTGGCGTGCCCTCGGTCATTTATCCCGCCGGTGTGCGTAGTGGTGGTGGCTGTGGTGCACCGTGTCTCGCCAGACTTCACCGTGACCGCATTATTTACGGGGAGAAACCGTTTCCGCTGGACACGGCGCTCTTCACGAACGCGTCTACCGCCACCGCCACGTTAAACGAGGACTTGCCGTTCACCGCTCCTGTTATTATTGCCCCATGCCGATACATCTTCACACAACGTCTCACTTCCTCCGATTCGGGGAGTTCTCTTTGCGCTAAAGACCCCTTCGCGAGTCTCAACTTTGTTCGGAAAACCTTCAGAATTCGAGAGGGCCATCGTCTGGCCCTGTGAGACAGCGGTTCGGGTGAAACTTCAGGACACGATTGCTCAGCTTCAACTGCAACCAAGCCACATCGCTTTGTCAATCCACTGCTAGATGATGCACCCACCCCCCCTACTCCCCACCAATCCTACAACGAGATCGGCGGCGTAGGAAAGATTTGAATTTATTTACAACAAAGACCAATTAGTGAACCAAAGGTGAGCAGGGAGGCTCGCGATTCGGTGATGGGGTCACCGGCAAGGGAGAAGTTTAGGAATTGTTAAGAGCAGCGGAGAGGCTGGTATGATTGGTTACGATTGGTTAAGGTTTTCAGCAATTGTACCGCATGTTGAACTGATTTCGCACCACCATACATAGCCAACCGTGCCCATCGGAGGTGCGGGGGACGACAACAAATTAAAGACAAAAAGCAGTTTTGAAGAAATGGGTCTATGTAAGTCTATGGGTCTCTGTGCAAGTCTATGGGTCATCTGTGCGAGTCTATGGGTCTGTGCGAGTCTATGGGTCTGTGTGAGTCTATGGGTCTGTGCGAGTCTATGGGGCTGTGCAAGTCTATGGGGGTCTCTGTGAGTTTATGGGTGTCTGTGCGAGTCTATGGGGGTCTCTGTGCGAGTTTATGGGTCTCTGTGTGTGAGTCTATGGGGTCTGTGTGAGTCTATGGGTCTCTTTGAGTCTATGGGGGTCTGTGCGAGTCTATGGGGGTCTGTGCGAGTCGATGGGGTCTGTGCGAGTCTATGGGTCTCTGTGCGAGTCTATGGGTCTCTGTGCGAGTCTATGGGTCTCTGTGCGAGTCTATGGGTCTCTGTGCGAGTCTATGGGTCTCTGTGCGCCGTCTGGAGGCGCGTCGCGGTCTGTGGCGTCGAGCTTTGTGGGGCGGCGGGCGAGATAAGTGAAAGCAAAGTTTCGCGTCTTGCTGGACGCCGCGGAGAGAGAGGCGAGGAGCAGGAGGAGGGTACAACAACAAGGAGGTCGCAGAGGACCACAGAGGGGAGGGGTGGGCGGAGAACAAATGAGCGGGCGGCAGAACGGTCCGATTTATGTGCTGGCCGTAGAAAAACACGGGACAAGCCGGGCGTTTAAAGGACAGATCGTCTAGTTGACAAGCAGCAACGGCAGGAACGCGTTCCTCGGGATATGGTAACCCTTGCTAACCCCCCCCCTCCTCAAACCCCCTAACTGGACACCTGTTACGGAAAAAAGCTTCGTAGCTCATTGGATTCCTCCAAGATGAATTCCCTCCAGGATGCAGCAAAGATTTCTGAAAACAACCGAAGCAACTTGTCGCCGCCCGACTTGCCTCGCTGTGAACGGCGGGCCAAGTGAAGTTCCACCCAAGGAGATCTCGAGACCTCAGCGGGCTGCTCGCCTCGGGACTGTTAGTCAAGGACGACGATATTGATGATATTGATGACGATATTGACAATGATATTGACGATGATGATACCGCCAACAAAATTGACGATGACAATGATATTGACAATGATATTGACGATGACGATACCGCCAACAAAATTGACGATGACAATGATATTGACAATGATATTGATGACGACGATGATACTGACAATGATATTGATGACGACGATGATACTGACAATGATATTGACAATGATATTGATGACGTTGATACTGATGACGAGAGTGATGAAATTGATGACGGTGATGTTGATGACGACGATGAGGGTGATCAGGATTGTTAGATATTCTTTAGTATTTAATACTTGCGCTGGTTAATAATTGCTAAGTCGATTACCGTTCCGAGCGGTACCTTTTGGCTGAATTTATTTCGAAAAATATATATGCGTGCTTTTGCTCGCGAAAGGTTATTCCCGTTTCCCGTTAATGTAACATGTTCTTAATGTGCATTGGCCACCGTCTAATGCTTTCGTCGTAACCTTTCGTTTGACTTTGTAGAAATATATATTTAATTTTTTGTCTTGCTCAACTCTCTTGCCGCTTTAGTCGTGACGCGCGCTGGCGTTTCTCGATCAAGAATCGTACTCGCAACTTAGTTTTTTTTATTTTCTCCATCCGTTATTTAAAATATATTTATATGCGTTTACCCGTTCAGCAATGGGCACCACTCCGACGATATTGCAACTTCCGACGCAGCGATTCCTTTTTTTTCTTTCGTCAAAATAAATGTTTCCCATTATTGCGTTTAAACACGTCACGACGTCTCGGTTACGCCAACAAAACGCTGCTCCGTCGCCGTCGGCAGCGGGCGTCTCAATCGGTTTTGTTATCGCCGCCGTCGCCGGAACTCCACGTGAGGAGTTCTGTAGACGTCAGTGGGCCGCTGCTCACTCGGTACCATTAATCGAGGACGATGTTATCGATGACGATATTGGGGGATGTCAACCGTGACCGGCGATCCAGAAACTCGCACCGGCAGGAACGCAATAAGCCACGCTCGGTAGATCCCGAGCCGGGTCCTACGCCCGCCCGATCCATCTATGGGTTGCGCAACCGATCGGACCCTCGACAAATCCTAAAACGGCGCTCTCCCACCCTCGATTACGGACAAAAAAAAAGCCTCCGCTGGCTGCAAATCGCCGGGCAGACGGATCGGCGCTCTCGTCGTAGAGGCCGTCTCAAACCGCTCGGCAACCGGTTGCGAAGACGTCCGGCATATAAGCACAAACCACGGTTGCGCGTGCGCGCAACCGATTGCTCGGGTGCGGAGGCAGCTTGATACCGCCCCGCCCCTCCCCCGTCCGCTCATACGGGGGCATCACAGGAAGTGATGTCGCACGGAGTGATGCGGAACAACAAATCGGGTTTCACTGCGACGATCGGGGGCCGTTGTCTGACCTTTGGCGGGGCCGGCACGGTAGGCCGGAATCGCCGTGGGTGCACCGGAGTATCAATTGCCGCGGTGGCGTGGATGTTAACTCCCACGCCTGGTATGGAGGAGGTTCGTGGATTCGATCCCGACCCCGAAGAAGCCTGCTGTATATTTAGAGTCTGCGTGTCTCTCCCTCTCTCATCATCATCACGGTGACTAGGAGATGTTAACTACCTCGCCTGGTATATAGGAGGTCGTGGGTTCGATCCCTGCTGTATATTTGGAGTCGGCGTGTCTCTCTCTCCCCGTGGTGGTCGCGTGGATTTTTCTCCGGGGTCCTCTCGCTTGTTTTCTCCCTCATTTAGCATCGACGTCACGCGTTTTAGAGTATTTGGCTGCCGCTTTGAATTTCCACGCGATGACGGATAAGCCACTTCTCGTTGAGCAATCAATTTGTGGCCAGCTTGCTCGGTGGACCTCACCCGGTAAAATAAAAAAATCGTTTAGTTTTTAAATCACACAGACGGCCACAAAAACCAAACCGTTCTCAAGCGAACGCGACCGTAACACTTTGCCACGCGCAACACGAGTGCGAGCATCGCGATTGGTCAGAGCATTTCTAGTCACATGCTCGCTTCTAGACCAATGGCGTGGATTCACGACAACGAGGGAGCGATGGGGGCGGGGGGGACGCACAAATCTGCAGCAGTTCTCCCGCCACACGCTCCATTCCCACCGCTTCAGGAAGATCGCGCGGTCGAAGACGACGCTCGGGTGAGGCTGTGGTCAGTTCCCTCGTCTGTCTGCCGGCGTGCGCGTTCGCCGGACAAAAAAAAACCTCGGCTCCGCTCAGCTTATTTTAATTGCATCGTTCCGCGACACACACACACAGTCTCTCGCGAGGACCGCCGTCGCTTGGACCGCCGCAGTCGGATGAAACACTTCGGAGGTGAGAAAAAAATCGAGACCCCCCCCCCACTTCCCAAAGTCTCCGCACGGGTGGCTCAGCAGAGACGCTAACACATCCGTGGCCACGGTGAGGAGGCGTAGGACGTCGGACGTCGTTGTCGCGACCACCGTCTTTCCTCGTCGTGTCTCTCTCACAGGCGTCGTCCCGGTGGTTGGTGCGGGGGGGGGGGTGGGGAGACCTCCGCCCCACCGCCCCCCCCCACCTCGACCGCTTCACGCGATGCGGCAGGCGTACTCCTCCGCCTCACCGCCCTTCGCCGTCCCGTCGTCCTCCGTCCCGGCTTCCGCCGCCGTCTCCGCGCTCGCCCCGGCGACGGCGCCCGCCGGGTCCTCGGCACCCGCACCCTCCGGGGGGAACGACGACGACGGGGAGGAGGCGGCGAAGGAGGAGGAAGACGACAGCGACAACAACGGCGGCGAGGGAGAGCACGGCGAGACGGGGGACGCGGCGGCCGTGGCGTCCCTTTCCACGCCGTCGCCGCCGCCGCCACCCGCCGTGGCGATCGTCGCCGGGGCGATCGAGGCGGCACCGGCATCGCGTGGGCGAGAGGGTGTCGGTGTGGGCACGGCGGCGGCGGCATTGCCGGCGCGGCCGCCCGACGCTCGCGGTCCCTCGTGGTACGGGCTCCGTGCGGCGTTGCACGCGTCCAACGCCGCCGTCGACGCCGCCGGCGAGCCGAATCCAGCCGCGCCGCCGGACGCCGCGGCGATGCCGCCGCCCCCCCAGGAATCGGCGAGCGCCGACAGAGCCTGCAGCTCGGGCTGCAGCTGCGAGAGGAAGGCCTTGTAGCCGGGGCTGTGCCAACAGAGAGAGGGGGGTGGGTCAGCGGGTCGGTGGGTCGGCGGGTCGGTGGGTCGCTTGGTCAGTGGGTCGGTGGGTCGTTGGGTCGGTTGGTCAGTGGGTCAGTGGGTCAGTGGGTCGGTGGGTCGTTGGGTCGGTTGGTCAGTGGGTCGGTGGGTCGGTGGGTCGGTGGGTCGGTGGGTCGTTGGGTCGGTTGGTCGCGGTGCCGAGCGATGCAGGGGGCACTTCCAACGCGGTGTTCAACATTGCAAGCGATTCGTCCGCGTGAAATATTTTCAGGAATAATTTGCTGTTTTCAAGGAATACCTATGAAGGCTGGCACGGTACACGAGGGGGTAGGTGGCCAGCACCAGGCCCGACCGCCTTTGTTTCCCTAGTGCCAGCAT